CGATATACCGACGTAATCCCATACTAAAAAGTAAGATTAGAGATAAGTTTACAAAGAGAGAACACAGATTCATTTAACGGGCAGTGTAACATATATATGTCTATATCCTGGTGTCTTGCTGTAGTTCTTAATAATATATTCGTCTGAACGTCTCAGACTTTGCTGTGAGATATACAACCACATACTAAAAGTGTATTGAATTACAAAACACATCCCAGATGTAGAATCACCCTAAGTCAGTGGTTTTTGATTTGTGGCAAAGTGTGTTCTCTTGCAATGCGGATTGATTCACTCGTCACCTTTGCAACAATAGACTTAGGTATATTCGGTTTTGGCCAAGTTTTACGAGACAAGCATGTTTAGCTATTGTAGTTAAACTAATCTCTTAGAAAACAAATTGGCCAAGTGTTACGGCTTATCTATTGAATGGTTCAGCATAAAACAATAACGATTTTTGACAAACGTTTTCTATTTTCAGGAAACTTAAATCAACGATTCATCATGCAATGAAACCATACATCTTCAGAAATATACCAAAAATCTTACACCTAAAGTTTCAACAATTATGATACTATGCATAATGCCAAAATGTCTGACCTAATCTGAATTGATCCATTAAAAGGTTTATTGTAATACAGGGTGATATGCCGGAAAAGTGCGATCACGGACAACATTTTTTTAGATAAACGTTTTATTTACTTTAAGCTAATCATGGAGTTATTACTTAGTGTTATATGGAGAAAAGACCCATTGAATTATGAAATCCTTTTTCTGTTTGTTTTGAAACTCTGGATAATGAAACATTGTTTCGGTGACTACATTAAAAAATGTATTAAAAAAATTAAAAAGGGATAACATACCTATTTGTAAAGATATATATATCGTATGCTAATATACATGAACGATAGAACGTGTTCTCAAGTAGGAACTCCTCGCGTCAAGCGAGAACCCCTTTCTTTCGTTCATCACGCAAAATACGAATAACTAACAAACGTCATAGTTTGTATTCTAAAACAGCTTCTTTGCGTGTACGCAAACTTTTCGTTTTTTGTAGTGTTTGCAAGAAAATAAATAAATAAATTGTATTTTTAACAGAACATAATATAGCTCATTTTCACTCCAACCCAACCTTTTAAAAATGAATCGTGTTAAAAAAATATGCGAATTAAATGCGCGTATAACTGCGTAATCAGCAAACATAAAATTGTATTGTTCAACATAAAGAGAAACAAAACGTTCCAGAACAGTGGTCTGAAACAAATTGTCGTTTGCGTATAGACAACCTTTCGATACATAACTATAGTCTATACACAAACGACTGTGACAAACACAAGGTTTGAAGCTAGGGAGAAAGATGCACGTATTTCAAACACAAATTGGTGTTGGCTGAGAACACATCTTTCTCCACATGGGGGGCATCCACTATATTTCAATCTGAGTCTCTTATTACTAAATGTGTCTCTCAAACCATTTGTGTCACCCAGTGCATGTAAGCAAGAGAAGACAGTGACAGCTGCTGCACTCACTTCGAATTCATGGCATATATCTTGAATGTTCAAAACCCAAATTCCAATGTTTCTTAATAAATAAGTAATTAATTAAATCATTTGTAACCACCAGAACGTGTTCCATGCATGCTACTTGGAATAAAATATAAACCTTTTAAATTCATGCACAATGCGTTCAAATTATATAATGTTTAAAAAACAGTTGCCATCTTGCTGTTGACTAAAGTGCATCTTTCACACGAAGGAGCGTCACTAATGTGACATGTGACTAATGTGACATGTGACTAATGGATACAGAGCAATAAATATCGATTATGTTGGAAATCCATCACACCCTGACAGGACAGATTGTTATCTGGTATCCGCATTACAAGAGAGTGGTTTTCATGCAAACACACATGCCACAAATCGGAACCCATTGAACTAGGGTCATTTATATGCTACAATTGTGATGACTTTAGCAGTTCCGTGCCCAGTAGTCGAATATACAATACGGACAGTAGTGTGACGAAAACTCAATTATTCAAGTTAAGGCACATTTCCCGTTTTCACCTCAGTAATATGCGAGGCTTTGTCTGTAAAATGCTTACCCATGGACCCTAAATGACATACACACTGGTATTTTTTCTGGAGCTAATGTTGCTCTGTAAATTGTTGCCATGTTTCTGAACTTCAATGACAAACGTTGACATAGCAGGGGGATAGCCGAGATCATAATGCATACCTCATCGTTCATTCATAGGTTTTATCCATTAATCATCATAGAGTTGATTAATGGATAATGTTGGCTCACGTATTTTACCTTCATGCGTCAAGTAACTAATTCCATTACCTTTGAAATAATTATATTACCGGCTTTGAAACCCAGCGTTTCCATTAATATCTAGACAATTTGAGTTTAAAATATAATATGATTAGTTAATATGACTGTCGTTCATTGTCTGGGGGTCATAGGTGGAGCACGAATGCACACTCCCCTTAAGCTCTCAACATTAGAAGCAATTTTAAATAGTACACACACAGAAGGTAAAATAATACGTTTCGACATTAAATAACGATCAGACATAGAATACTTCCACCACATGCCCCCAAGTTACTGCTCAAGAGCTAGAGTGGCTTTTGACATTTCCTAGAATCCAACATTTTCATTACAGCGAAAACACGGAAAACAATCCATTACCATAATGACGACATTTCGCGGTTTGAGACACGTTTCTCGGCAAAAGTCATCGAATGTACACATTCCAGTGCATATTTGTAGAGATAAAATTTCGCGAAATGTGATATGAATAAGAGTAGAGTTGTTTACTTAGATGTTATACTGCAGGTGCCATACAGATATTTTTAATTCGTCGTAGCATGCGATCGCTAATCCGTATACTCCCTCCTGCTAACTATTACCATGTACGCTTGGTTCATCTAATGCTCGACAAACTTGGCGTAGTATCACTATCAATGCTTTCAGCTGCTGAGCAAAATACACTGATTGCCAACTTGAAATGCTTTATGTTCCGGGAATTTTTTATAACAAGTTGAAATGCATAAAATGAGCAACCCACTGCTTATCA